TACACTGAAAAAAATGTTTCATTCATCCAATTAAAAAATTTTTTTGGTAATGATTCACATCTATATTTTTTTAACTTGAGCCAATGAAAAATAAATAACTTGCCCGTAGGGCAAAAATAAATAAATAATAAATAAAAAATTGAAAAACAAATAACTTGCCCTTAGGGCAAGTTATTTACAGTGGGTACGGAAAGTATTCAGACCCCCTTAAATTTTTCACTCTTTGTTGTATTGCAGCCATTTGCTAAAATCATTTAAGTTAATTTTTTTTCCTCATTAATGTACACATAGCACCCCATATTGACAGAAAAACACAGATTTGTTGACATTTTTGCAGATTTATTAAAAAAGAAAAACTGAAATATCACATGGTCCTAAGTATTCAGACCCTTTGCTGTGACACTCATATATTTAACTCAGGTGCTGTCCATTTGTTCTGATCATCCTTGAGATGGTTCTACACCTTCATTTGAGTCCAGCTGTGTTTGATTATACTGATTGGACTTGATTAGGAAAGCCACACACCTGTCTATATAAGACCTTACAGCTCACAGTGCATGTCAGAGCAAATGAGAATCATGAGGTCAAAGGAACTGCCTGAAGAGCTCAGAGACAGAATTGTGGCAAGGCACAGATCTGGCCAAGGTTACAGAAAAATTTCTGCTGCACTTAAGGTTCCTAAGAGCACAGTGGCCTCCATAATCCTTAAATGGAAGACGTTTGGGATGACCAGAACCCTTCCTAGAGCTGGCCGTCTGGCCAAACTGAGCTATCGGGGGAGAAGAGCCTTGGTGAGAGAGGTAAAGAAGAACCCAAAGATCACTGTGGCTGAGCTCCAGAGATGCAGTCGGGAGATGGGAGAAAGTTGTAGAAAGTCAACCATCACTGCAGCCCTCCACCAGTCGGGGCTTTATGGCAGAGTGGCCCGACGGAAGCCTCTCCTCAGTTCAAGACACATGAAAGCCCGCATGGAGTTTGCTAAAAAAACACCTGAAGGACTCCAAGATGGTGAGAAATAAGATTCTCTGGTCTGATGAGACCAAGATAGAACTTTTTGGCCTTAATTCTAAGTGGTATGTGTGGAGAAAACCAGGCACCTGTCCAATACAGTCCCAACAGTGAAGCATGGTGGTGGCAGCATCATGCTGTGGGGGTGTTTTTCAGCTGCAGGGACAGGACGACTGGTTGCAATCGAGGTAAAGATGAATGCGGCCAAGTACAGGGATATCCTGGATGAAAACCTTCTCCAGAGTGCTCAGGACCTCAGACTGGGTCGAAGGTTTACCTTCCAACAAGACAGTGACCCTAAGCACACAGCTAAAATAATGAAGGAGTGGCTTCACAACAACTCTGTGACTGTTCTTGAATGGCCCAGCCAGAGCCCTGACTTAAACCCAGTTGAGCATCTCTGGAGAGACCTAAAAATGGCTGTCCACCAACGTTTACCATCCAACCTGACAGAACTGGAGAGGATCTGCAAGGGGGAATGGCAGAGGATCCCCAAATCCAGGTGTGGAAAAGTTGTTGCATCTTTCCCAAAAAGACTCGTGGCTGTATTAGATCAAAAGGGTGCTTCTACTCTAAATACTGAGCTTGTGATATTTCAGTTTTTCTTTTTTAATAAATCTGCAAAAATGTCAACAATTCTGTGTTTTTCTGTCAATATGGGGTGCTGTGTGTACATTAATGAGGAAAAAAAATTAACTTAAATGATTTTAGCAAATGGCTGCAATATAACAAAGAGTGAAAAATTTAAGGGGGTCTGAATACTTTCCGTACCCACTGTATATAAATAAAATACAACTTGTACGCTTCTGACTGTCTTTTGTCTTTTAGATTCGCCGATACAAAGCAAGCAGTGCTGTTATGGAGAAGGCCACTGCAGTCTACAATAAACTAAAGCTGCAGTTCATTGGCAAGATTGAGACCAGTAAACCAAAACCAGATGAAAAGAACCAAGAAACCAACGAGCAAGACACACAAAACGCAGGTAAACTGTCAAATAAACTGTCAAAGTTTTCACGTGCAGTAATCAAATGAGTTTTAAAACATGCTTGTTCTTTGTGCCTTCCTTCCAGATGACTCCAAACCAGTGAACGGAGAATCAGAAAATGAGAAAAAAGACGTTTCTGAATCGGAAAGCAACCCCAAACCCACAGCCCAAGAGAAACAGGATGAGAACAAATCCCCGAACGGCATCAGGTGAAGAGCGGCCACCTTTCGCTTTCCTGGTCCTTAAGCAAAATAATCACACAGCTTGCCGATTAATTTTGTATTTGTCTTTCAGTCCCAATCCAGATGAGCCAACAGAGCAGCAAACACTCGCAGCTGACTCCACAGACGCCGATCCGGCAGCGGATACAGACGTAAAAGAGGACAGCAGAGCGCAGGACGAGCAGATGTCTTCCGAGAGCTGAACGTTTCACAAACACACTTTGGCCTCCTTCGTTCATTTGTGTTACTTTTTGTCTGCCCACCTTTGTGACCTACATGAGTTTTTCGTGTTGTACATAAAACGTGATATGAACATTATTAGCACTTTTGAATCGGGACGTCATGAGGCAAAACAAGCGCCTTAATCTAAATGTTCGATGTGGATGATTCTGCACTACCCACGTTTGGTCAATCGAGGGCGAACGTTTTATTTCAGAACCACGCTGACGTCTAGTAGAAAAAACACAGAAGCCCTTCAAATATATTTGAAGACTGCTTGTATTATGTAGCCGCTTTTTATGAGTAAAACCTTTTTTCCTTTTGTTTTTTTGGGGGTTTTTTTATATGAAAAAATAAGGAAAATGCTAAAAAAAAAAAGTAAAAGAAAGCAGTCTGGTTTTGTGTTGATTGACCCACTACGCCATACAGGAAGAGATCATGAGGTTTCATTATCATTATTATTACTGCACAAATCTACAGCTGATCTGTCTGGTATGGATTTCCATAACCTTCAGTGTCTATGGACTTTCACTAAACTCTGTAGACCGCTTGTTGTCCGTTGTTTGGTGTTCTAATAATAACAACTTACATCTGCATAGGTTGACCCAATAATGCTATTCTTTTCTTGGATGTTATAAAACATGCGTATCATTCTTCTTATAAACATGTTTCTAGTGCTATGTAACTTGGTCGGAGATTTTTTTTAGTATCCGTGAAGGAATAAATAAAAATTCCGCATGATGGCCACAATTTTGAAATGGTCCTTCTATGAAAACAGTTTTATATTGTTCAGAATATGATACTAACATACTGCCTAGTACATACTACGAAGAACAGACTGCATCTTATGGTACTAGAATAGAATAGTAGGCTATATTCTGTTTTAAAACACCCATTATGATGTCTTCTATTACTTCTAAAAAGTGTAGAATAATATTATTTATATAATATTTTTTATGATTAATTGTCATTTAAATAACGTGAGTTATGTAAATCATCAGCTCAGTATTGACTTAATTTCTTCTGCACAAAAATTTTAGTTATTCCTATAATTCAATTATTGAAGTACAATAAAGGCAGAAATTAGCGACGCGTCGGTCGTTCGCGTAAACAATGGCTTTGATTGGTCTAGTGCGCTGACGTCACTCGAACGCAAACCACAAAGGACGCGTCGCGCTCACTTGCGATGTAGACAGCTTTATTTAAATTAACCAATTTATTTTATTTAAAGGGGTCATATGATGCTGCTAAAAATAACATTATTTCGTGTATTTGGTGTAATGAAATGTTTATGCGGTTTAAGGTTCAAAAAACACATTATTTTCCACATACTGTACATTATTGTTTCTCCTCTATGCCCCGCCTTTCTGAAACGCGTCGATTTTTACAAAGCTCATCGGTCTGAAAAAGCGAGGTGTGCTGTGTTTGGCCAGCTATCCAGTGCATTGTGATTGGCCGAATACCTCAAGCGTGTGACGGAAATGTTATAATGCCCTGACAGGCCGGAGCAATGATTCAAAAACATTAAAACCCATTATAAACGAGGCAACATAAAATCATGTCTGCATTTGTGATCGGAGAAATGACAAACAACAAGCCCTACTCTACACTGCCCAAAAAAACCCTCTTTAAATATATAAAATATAAAAACTCTTAAAATATAAAAGACGTACTTACAGTCTTTGAGTCAGAACAGCCAGCATTGTAGTCTACTCT